AAAGCTTTATCAAATTAGGCAAACAAACAAAGGTGCATTAGTTAGCTTATCTTTCAAAGTTTTGAAAGCCCGGTCTTGCACATCATCCACTTAAAAACACATTCTTTTAACAAGTTCATTAAAGGTGCAGCAATAACTAAAATCTTTAACAAACCTTCGATAAAAACTTGCTAAACCATGGAAACTTCTTACCTCGTTCGCATTCTTAGGTGTAGGCCAGTCCCTTATTGCCTACCTTTTCTCATGAACACTAATACCCTGCGAACTAACAACAAATCCAAGAAACACAATAGATTCCATGCAAAACGTGCACTTCTTAAGATTAGCATACAATTGGTGCTTCCCAACACACTAAACACAGCATGCAAGTGTTCACATGGTCATCCAAATTTTTGTATAAACTAAATCATCAAAGTAAACTACCACAAATTTTCCCAGAAAGCACGCAAGACATGGTTCATTAACCTCATGAATGTACTAGGTGCATTAGTAAACCGAAAGGCATTACTAACCACTCATACCAATCCCTATTAGTTTTAAATGCAGTTTTCCATTCATCTCCCTCTTTCATGCGAATTTGATAATAGCCATTCTTTAAATCAATTTTAGAAAACAATTGAGAGTCATGCAATTCATCAAGCATATCATCTAATCTAGGGATAAGATGTCTATACTTTACCGTTATCTTGTTAATAGCTCGGCAATCTACACACATGCGCCATGTTCCATCTTTCTTTGGGACTAAGAGGACAAGAATCGAACATGGGCTGAGACTCTCCCTTAGAAATCCCTTTTGCAACAGCTCATCCACTTGCCTTTGTATCTCCTTCGTTTCCTCGGGATTATCTCTATAAGCAGGTCGATTTGGTATGACGGAACCAAGTGTGAAGTCTATTTGATGCTCAATTCCTCTTAGATGAGGTAATCCATGGGGAATCTCCTCAGGAAATAGGTCCTCAAATTCCTGTAATAAAGACACGACAACACTAGGCAAAGATGAGTTAAGGTCATTAGTAGAAAAATAAACATCATTGTACATAAGTACAAGTACTTGTTGCCTCACCATCATTACACTCTTAACTTCATGTTTTTCAGCAACTACACTCATTCTTTTATTCTTCTCTCCATGTTGCTCACTTTTCTCTCATTTTTGCTTACTTTTCTCTCCATTTTTCCTCTCGACCTCATTTGCTCTCTTTCTATTTTCCTTTTGCTCACACTGTCGTTTCTCTCTCATTTTGCACTCTCTTGCTATCCTAATCTGGTCCTCATAGCTTGTAAGGGTTTGAGAGGGGCTAATACAACTTTTCTGTTGTTCATTACAAAAGAATAACGATTTTTGTACCCATCATGCGACACCCTCCTATCAAACTGCCACGGTTGACCAAGCAATATATGACCAGCATACATCGGTGCCACATCACAAAAAACCTCATCCTCATACTTGCCAATTGAAAAAGGAACCCGAACTTGTTTGTTTACCTTCACTTCTCCACAGTCATTCAGCCATTGTAGCTTGTACGGTTTAGGATGCTTCTTCCACTTCAAATTCAACTTTTCTACCAACAAAGTACTAGCAACATTAGTACAACTCCCACTATCAATAATCAACGTACATACCTTATCCTTCATGTGGCATCTTGTGTGAAAAATATGCTCACGTTGCTTCTCATCTCCTTCATCCTTAGGTTGTATACTCAGGGCTCTCCTTGTAACAAGTAAATCACCATGCACAGGTTCTTCCACTTCAACATCAGAATAATCCTCCAATGGTGGCATCTCATCGTCACTTGAGCTAGCACTTTCGACTTCTCCATTTGCCCGTACAACCATAACGTTTTTGTTTGGGCATTCGGAAGCAATATGTCCAAATCCTTAACACCTAAAGCACTTAATGTCATGTGACCTAGTAAGAGTTTTAGTTTCGGGTTTACCTTTAGGAACAGCAACCGAATTCTTTGACTTTGCTTCTTCTTTTGTTCTGAAGGCAGCTTTGTTGTCCTTTCAATTTTATCTCCATGAAGAGCTAGAGGACGAACCAGATCTGAACCTCTTGGACTTGATTTGCTTATCCACTTTAACGGCTTTGTGCAGTAGCTCCTCCATCTCTACATAATGTTGCAACTCAACCACATCAGCAATCTCCTTGTTCAATCCGGCAATGAATCTAGCCATTGTTGCTTCTCTGTCTTCCTCTATGTTTGCTCTAATCATGGCGATTTCCATCTCCTTATAATAATCCTCTACACTCATGGAACCTTGAACCAGCCCTTGCAACTTTCTATAGTAATGGCTAGGTATAAATCTCTTGCGTATCACCAACTTCATCCCTTCCCATGACCGAATAGGCCTCTCACCATTTCTATGCCTATTGATCGCCAATTGATCCCACCATATACCTGCATAATCTGTAAACTCCACGACTGCTAGCTTTACTTTCTTCTTCTCTGAGTAATTATGACAATCAAATACGTGCTCAACCTTTCTTTCCCACTCCAAGTATAGCTCAGGATCATTCTTTCCTTGAAAAGTCGGAATTGCCATCTTTATACTGCCTATATTATTATCTCCTTTGGAGTCAACCTTCTTGGCCCGTTTATAACTTGTTCTCTCCACTTCGGAATCAACTTCGTCTTCTTCGTCGAACTCATCTCTTCTATGTGATTTAAAATTGGAAGAGGACTCCAAATCATTCAATCTCGCATTCAGCAATTCAAATTGGTCATTAACAGCCTTGATGAAGAATTTCATGTCGACCTCTTGTGGTTCTCCTCCTTCCTTACTCATGGTTTCAACCTGTAAATTTAAATAAAATAAAAGGTGTTGTTCCTCACACACTCCCTCATGTGTTTGCACTCAAATCAGATTGTTATCATTCGTGTTTCATACTATGTTGGCTTTTTCTTGATGATGATCTCTCTTGCCTTTTACCACTCAAAGCCAAGCCAGCCCCCTCTATGTTCTTAATAGAATCAAAGGATTCAACAAATCTCACGAAGCAACCGGTTAGATGTTGACAATCTCAAAAATTAGAACTTTAAAAACTTAGTTGAGGCAAACAGTGAACAGAAAGAAAGACCAAGATGACTTTAAAGAACCAAGAAAAATAAGAAAACTCTAAAAGGAAGCAACAAACATGTGAAAGAAATCATTGGAATTAACGCTAAATGACTAAGAAGGCAAATGACACAAAACAACCTTGTATATGCTTGAAACAATCACTAGAACAAAAATAAAGGGAAACTAGAACAAAATAAAAAGGAAACTAGAACATAATAAAGGAAACTAATTCAACAAGAATAAGAAACTCAAGCAAGAAAAACAAGAAATGGAAACTTAATTCAACAAAAATAGGATACTTAGCAAAGAGAACAAGAACGTGAAACTTAACAACTCGAAATTGCCAGTTTGTTCTTCTTTTGTTTTTTTTTGGTTTTAAGAACAAAGATGGATTGAACATAGGAAATAAAGCACAAGAAAAATTAAAAAGGAAGGAAGAATTCAAAGAGAACTATGAAACGAAATCCAAAGACAACTACGAAACGAAATTCAAAGAAAACACAGAAATACTATGAAAAGACGAATTCAATTTTTTTTTTTTGAATCAAGAACGCAAACAAAGAGACTTAATTCAACAAAAATAGGATACTTAGCGAAGAGAACAAGAATGTGAAACTTAACAACTTGAAATTGCCACTTTGTTCTTCTTTTGTTTTTTTTTGTTTTTAAGAACAAAGATGGATTGAACACAGGAAATAAAACACAAGAAAAATTAAAAAGGAAGGAAGAATTCAAAGAGAACTATGAAACGAAATCCAAAGACAACTACGAAACGAAATTCAAAGAAAACGCAGAAAAACTATGAAAAGATGAATTCAATTTTTTTTTTTTTTTTGAATCAAGAACGCAAACAAAGAGTGTTGGAGATAGATAACTTGTTTTCAGCAAGCAAAGCTCTGATACCAAATGATGGAATAGGAATAAGTTGGTTTGGTAGGAATGTGTTAAGGATGATCGAATTAGAACCCTAAGGAAACTAAGTCCTTAAAACCCTAATCTTGAGATGCCACAAAGGTTGATTACTCCCTTTGATAAGTCGAGATTCAAGCATTCAATCAAGAACACAAGAAGGCAAAGCAAATAGCTTTCTGAAATAAACTTCAATTGATAATAATCTGTTCCCAAAAAATAACATGGTTGCTCCTTTTTATAAGCAACAAACCCTAAAAGAAAACCCTAGCTAATTGAAAAATGGGTTGGGCCTAAATACAAGCGAATTGGGCATAAATAAACCTTAAATAAATAAAAGGCTAAAGAATCTAATGATAATTAAAACATAAAAAAAAGTCCAAGATTAAATAAACGAAAATTAATTCCTAAATTAATCCTTGCATCCAACTTGATCTTTCGAATCTACCCCTTGCATAAAAAGATAATAGACAATCCTTGGTGAAGCTTTGAAATCTTCGAATTTAGTCTTAGAGTCTTCTAGTACAGTCTCTTTGTATTGCACTTCCATGATCAAGCCTTGCAAAGCCTCTTTCATCCTCTTTGTCTTTGCCCTAGTCATTGGACCGTCAATTCCTCGCAAAGGATCTTCAGAATATTTGGGAACATCAACTTGGTCAACACTTCGATCTCCATTAAGTCCCCTCACTGCTCTTATTTTCGTCACCGCCCATCCCGACCAAAAGCTTCACAGATTTGTTCCTCATCTTTGCTTCACATCTCATCCTTCTCAGGTTGGTTTTGTTTTCATATTCATTTTGGTAACGAATCTTCTAAACTTTTTCAGTTCTTTTTCATTTTTTTACTTTGTGAGCTCTGCTTAACGAATTGACAAAGACATTTTGGTATAACCGTAAAATAATTTAAGGAGGGCAAGACGGGAATTAACATTTTATGTTACGATTTTGCGGAATTGGGGGGAGCTATTTTTTGAAAATATTAGGGAGGTCTATGTCATGTACCATTTGTTTTTTAAATTATATCAAAATCATCCTCTTCAAATAATGAACCAGTCTTCCTTCAAATTTAAATTCGTTGGTTGCTTCTTTTCAGTTTTCATTTCGTTTTCTCCTGATCTGACTGATAAGCAAAAAATAGTCTCTCACAATAGTAAAGGCCTCACTTCACACAGATCTTAGCGGTATAATTCTTCATTTGTGGCTATTTTCTTTTTCTTTTTTCTTTTTATATAATTTATGCGAATTATTCTGTGTTTAACTCTTAAATTAATGCGTATTCATTTGCAATTTGTAATATGATTCTCAAAAATTACGAAAATCAGTTTCGTTTTCCGTTGATGTGGAGAAAGAATAGTACATTCACCAAGTAATATCATAATATTTGTTCTCGTTCAGTTTAGACAATTTGATCAAAAAAAGGCGTCGTTTTCATCGGAGCGGAAATGGCAGCGAAGCAAATGGAGGAGATTCAGAGGAAATTAGGAATGCTGAATTATCCAAGAGCCAATGCGCCGGCGCAGTCTCTTCTCTTCGCCGGCATGGAGCGTTACGCTCTTCTCGAATGGCTCTTCTTCAAGTAATATTTTACCATTTTTTCTCCTTCAGTTTATGCAATTTGATAAAAAAAAAAAAAAAACAGTCTCGTTTAATGGTTTCTATTCCGATTCTAGGTTATTGGGCGATAAATCTCCTTTCTCACAACAAAATTTACAGGGAGATGCTATGGATCGCGATGAAGAGACCGGTCGCATTCAATGTATGTTTAATTTCATCGTTATTGTTATTAGTTTGGTTAAGAATACAGAATTTGATTTTGTGGGAGGTGTAACTGATTCTCCGAAAAGCACTTTCCGCAACATTATTTCAAATTTATGTACAAAGTAGAAAATTACTTTTGACTTATTTTAAAAGTGCTTTTTTAGTGTAAAAAGCATTTGGAAATGTGCTATTATCATTATGGTTAATAACCTGATGTTTTGCAGATTTGGCAGAGATTGCGAAGTTTTTGGGTATTACAACAACTATAGATGTTGAAGCCATTCAAGTAAGTGAATCAAGTTATTTGTTCACTATGTCAGTTGCTTAATTTACAGTTTTTTCTGTATGATCATTTTTATTTTGAATTTCTTTTTTTTTTTTTTTTTAGTAGGAACTGTAGTATATGTGTTAGATTTTCTTTTTTCCCTCTACTAGTAGCTTGAACTATGTTCTTGAGTCATATTGTGAAATTTAATTTTCTTGAGATAATCTGGAATGTTGCACTCATTTTGGGGTAGCAGAAAAGTTGAATGGTCTACAGATCTTTTTACATTGTTGAAATTTTAATCATTTTTTCTTTCAAACTTGAATTAAGAATAGCAAGGTGATAAAGCTTTCTTTTCCTGAAGTTGGCATGGAAGCTGGTAGCATGCAATAAACTGTTCTTAGCATGAACATTATGAATTTTGTTTCCATAGAAGTTGAGAATATATTGAGAGCAAGAAAGTTTAATAAAAAATAAAAATAAAAAAAGATGATTGTTTGGGTTTGTTTTTATCTTCTTTCTCGTAGCATAGAGGAGTACTAGAAATGAGTTAGTTTTTTTTTTATTTTTTTTCAAACTACCCAGAATTCTCTTGACCTTTCTTGTGTTTATAAAGTTTTAAAATGGGGGCTACTTCTCGACCTTACACATTTCATTCACAGTGTGAATTTGACAGAACACAACACATACATGTAAATAATGTAAATTGTACCTTCAGTTGCATCATTATATTTTATGCATTATTTTTTGTTTTTCTGATTGTTAATATCTGTCATGTGATTTGAGTACATATATTGAACATAATTGGTCTCCTACAGCTCCCTATTACGTAGTGTGGGAGGTCCAAGACATGCCAATCATAAGTTTGAATTTTTGCATCTATGATCTGCACTTGACTAATGTTTGAGAGAGCATGTGTGTTTACTAAAAGTTTAATAAGTGAATAACATTTTACATTTCAGGGGCGTGGAAGTTATGAAGATCGAACTGAAATGCTTCAACTTATAGTTGATCTTGTGGAGGCGAGCATCTATGCTGATAATCCTGATTGGAGGTTGATATGACTGACTTTAAATTAGTTGAGAAATTATATTTGCTTTCATGGAAGACATGTATAACTAAATTTATTATTTCCACTTGTGTATTGGATGTTCATGTTCTTTTTTTTTTTTTTTTTTTCTTCTCGTTTAGCAGCGTTCCTGATATTTATTTTGTATACTTCTGCAGCATTGATGAGCAAGTAGCAAAGGACATACAACTAATAGACTCTATTGCAGAGAAACAAGCTCTTATTTTCTCAGAAGAATGCAAGTTGTTCCCTGCAGATGTGCAGATTCAGTCAATATATCCATTGTAAGAACTTTGTTTCTTTATCCGCTATGTTTACATCTTTTTCTCTAATTTGATTGTTACAAGATGTTAGGGGGTTAAGAGTTTTTTCCATTGAATTTTTGAAGCCTAGCTTATTTGAATGCTTGATTCATCATATGTACGTGTCTTTGCTAATTAAAATTATTTTAAGTACAAGCAATGTCTTTTTGTGTGTGTTTGATTTCTTCTGATGTTTGCCAAAGTTATGTGTCATTGCAAAACGTTAGACTAATCTACCACTAGTCTTCACTACTACATGTCACAACATTAATTTTCATTAGTACATCACTTCATTAGCAACCCTCTGATATATGTCCAGTTCAATAGAAACTGGAATGCTAGAGAGTGTAACTCTTTTTTACATACAACTTAAGTTGAGCAAAATAATACATATTCGCGCTGCACTTCTTTTTGCTTATTTTTTAGTATGGTATGGGTGATATTTCCCCTTCATACCAAAAGAATTTAAATTCTTTGTATAACAAAATCTTTGTCTACTGTCATAATAGCACTTTATCATTAAGAAATAAGGTGTAGAGAATTGGAGAAAAGTAAGTTTAGTTCTCTTTTCTAATGGAAGGAGCAGAAGATGTGATTATATTTGAATATGAAAGGGTGTATAAATCTAAATTTAAATGAGGTACAATGAAAAACTGGGTGTATAGAGTATCCTTCTGGATGAATATCCCAATTCTTAGAAAAGGACCATATTAAGTTGTAATAGGTATGTTGTAATATGTCCAATACTAATAGGAAGTAAGTTTATAATGATTTTGGTTTTTTGTTTTTCAGAATTTGCAAATGTCTCTCGGGGTTTGTCATAATTACCATATGATTGTGTGGACTGGCAAAAACCTTCTCCTCCTTTTAGACTTCTCCCTGTTTAAGATTCAGACTCAGTCCTTTGCTAAATGTGTGATAAGTTTTATGAAAGACAAATACAATCCTGTTTATGATAACCCCTGTATATTTTGTGTTAGTGTCAGTATGGTTACTTTTATTACTAGATTTAGTAACATTCTGTTCCATCATTCAAAATTCATTTGTAGACCAGATGTTTCTGAGCTGGAGACAAAGCTTTCAGAACAATCAAAGATACTCTCGAATCTTCAACAGAAGGTCACAGATTTGGCATCTAAGGTTTATCCCTGTTCCTTAGCTATTTATTTTTGTCTGTCTTGTCCATTGTTCACTAGACTACTCTAGACTGATCAGCTTCCCATGGGTTGTCTCTGGCATCAACTTTTCCTATGTATGCTTTGAGACCACAGTAAGCATAAATAATAATGACAATTAATATGATGGAAGCTTTAAGTCACTTAATTTACTTGCTTGAATTTAGCGTTGCTGTGAGGTGAAACTTGGTTTAGCTTTTTTCTTCTCCCACTTGTAGGTTGCCTAGGTCATTAGTTTTGATGGGTGGAGCTCTTTCTTCTATGTGATTCTAATCCTGTAAAGTGATATATATGATGTTCAAGCATTTTCTAGTGCCAAAATCTTGGGATCTGTTCAAATCTTACCTGAAGTATATTTAGGTCATGGTAATTGATATTCTAATTATTACTTCTTGTGGATTGACGACATAATGCTCTTATTCGGACTCATTCTAAAATTTCACCATTTCATCACGAAATGGTTTATTTTCAAATTTTATTTTTTTTTGCCAGTGAATATTTCCCAAACTTCCATTTTGTCTCTTCTTGTTTTTTCTTATGCTGTTTGATAGTATATGTCCTTGTGTTACTTTCTGTCAGCATGCTTACAATCCAGATGAGGAGTATGCAGAGGTGGAATCCCAACTTCGGGCTAATCTGGAATCTTTTCTTGAAACCGCAAGATCATTTAATACAATTTACACCAAGGTTTGCTCCTCTCTTGCTTTTACTTGATTTGCTTTGGGTTACTTTGCTACCATCCTTGTTATATCTACTTGAATGCAATGGTTAAATTGAAGGAATTTTCCATTTGAAACAAAAAAAGGCTTTTATTGTTATGAAATTGGATATGTTATGGTATATATTAACCTTTATTCTTTAATTTTTTCTTTTTGTCCTCTTTTATTATTTGTAAATTCCCCAAATTCATTTCATGCTTTGCAAAAGATAACAAAATCCGTATTCTTGAATTATGAAAATTTAATATAAATTGAAGAATTGATATTACTAGGTTGCATTTTTTTTAAAACTCAGTGACCAAATAGAAAATTTTATTTCATTTTTGAAATTTCCATGTAGTACAAAAAATATGCTTGCCCTAAAATTTTTCTCTGTTTTGACCTACTCTGCAATTTCAATAACATGATTGGAATTGGAATTGAAATTGATGATCAACCTAAAGTTAATTGTAATATCTGTTATGAACAACTTTTGAGCTGGACTCTTTGTTTATGTAGTTTCTTGAGTAATGATATCATGCTCTTTGTAGGAAATTCGCCCCTGGACTCACATGATGGAGGTACCACAGCTTCATGGGTTTGGGCCTGCTGCCAATCGCTTGTTAGAGGCATACAAGATGCTTTTAAAGGTAAACAGTGATTGTTCTTCTTGTTGTCTCTTCCTTTAATCATCTCATGTAGCAGATATCAGGTGGTTCTTCACTGAAAGGAAAGTCATTTATCACTTTTAACAGCCTAGCTATAGACACGATGACAGTGCATTATGCCTTTAATTAGTAAGCTATATCTTGGCTAGATTTGCCACTGATTATATACAATAGTTATTGGGAATCTGATTGCTGATTTATGACTTCAATTTTCCTTAGTACTGCTAACTTAGTTTTGCATGATGTTGTGTATGCTAACTCTTTATAGACCCTTTTACACGTAACACATGTTACACGAATTTTCATTTTGGTTTAGTTTTGTGGGTGGAAAGAAATTGAACGATTGGCTAGTTTCTTCATTATGATGTAATTGCAAAAAACTGATGCATTATGGCACATTTTGTTCTTAAAATATTGGACAATCACCGGTTGTTATGATAACAGAATAGATAAAGTGTATCCAAACAATGTTTTGTTCATATTATGTTTGTCATTATTCTAGTTTTGATCTATGTTATAGACTAAACAGATGTGTCTTATTTTATTTTGGGATTAGCTTGACTATTAATTTGTAATTAGAAATCCTTTTATTGCAGTTCTTAGGTAACTTGAGAAATCTTAGGGACTCATATGCAGCCCTTGGTGTTGGATCGTCTGAAACAATTGCTGGCGAGCCCTCTTCAGTCACAAGAATTATTTCAGAGTGTGAATCTGCCTTAACATTTTTAAACCATGATCTTGGAATTCTTTCGGCCTCAATTGCGCGTGAGCAAGGTGAAAAGGTGACTTTATGAAATATTTTTAAAAGATAGGGAAGACTGTCACCTCCTCTACTTCTTTTTTTTGATATGTTTTCCAGTTATATTTTCCAAAGCCATCTTAGCTTTTTGATTTCTTTAATCGCTTAATTGATTGTTAATTAAATTCCACTCTGAGGAAATGATGAGTCTTAGAGGCCACATTTTTAGTTATAGTATGGTGTTTTGTATCTGTATCATGGTGGTGTGTAATTTGTAGATATGAATTTCATGACTTTTATACGCTAATATTGCTCTAGTTACGATTGAATACGATAAGGTTTACATGATTAGTCCATTGTCCTTATGTCACTGACTTTTAGTCCAGTTAATTACATTAGAACTCATTAGTAGGTGACATGATAATGTATGATCCATGTTGGAAACTAGCTTGGTATGAAACCCTCAAAACTCTAGTATATTATCGAACTAGAAGGGATAAACTTTTGAATAACTTTTCTCGTTCAATAGTGTTACTATGCTTGCTGCAGATTTGTCTCTCCGTTGATGCTTATTACTGGTCTGAATTCTTAGTTTTGCTAAGAGTTTTGTTTTTATGATTTTTTCATGACTGCTTTGCTACATGTAAGGTTTATACGGAAGTGGTATTTTCTTGAGGAAATCACTCATGACTGATAAAACCTTGAGGCTCTGCATTTTCACAATGTCTCACTCTATTTCCTTACTAATTTAAGGTAAAAACTATGGTATTGAGCGCTGAGATTTTTTTTATGTTTTTGGGTTTAAATTTGAGCTCCGAAGATTGTACTGGGTATTTTGATTCCAAGGGGTGTATGTTTTCGGTGAACTGGTATTGAAAAGGCAGGACAGTACAAATATCCTTATAACTTGCGTGGAAGGAAGCAGTACTATTTCTAACATGCACTAAATTTCTAATAGTGCTATGCTAACCGCAAATTCGAGATCCATGGAGCTGAGCTCAGGGTCTCATAGGTCTCATTTTTGTACGCCCTGTTTAAAGCTTTCTTCCTCTTACCGTTGCATGGTTTTAGGTAATTTCAAATTGTTATTATCTATTATTTATAATTAATTAATTGTATTTATTAATAATTAATAATTGGGATTTATTAATATTTGGTAATTATAAATAAATATTAAACAAAATTTTATTATTAAAAGTAAATTAGTATTTATATCATTAATAATTTTTTTTATTAAAATTAGTTTATTCTGAGATCTTTATATCATTAATAATTTTTTATTAAAATTTGTTTAATTTTGTTTATTATATCAGAATATTGCTTAAGCGGTGTAAAGTTTGCTTATTGGCAAGATTTGACATTTTGACGACATTGCAAGTTGTTTCCATGGATATTCCTTGGCTCTATTCAATCTTACCTGAAGTAACTTTAGGTCATGTAATTGATATTCTAATTATTACTTCTTGTGGATTGACGACAAATGCTCTTATTCGGACTCATTCTAAAATTTCACCCATTTCATCACGAAATGGTTTATTTTTCAAATTTATTTTTTTTTGCCAGTGAATATTTCCCAAACTTCCATTTTGTCTCTTCTTGTTTTTTTCTTATGCTGTTTTGATAGTATGTCCTGTGGTACTTTCTGTCAGCATGCTTACAACCAGATGAGGATATGCAGAGGTGGAATCCCAACTTCGGGCTAATCTGGAATCTTTTCTTGAAACCGCAAGATCATTTAATACAATTTACACCAAGGTTTGCTCCTCCTTTCTTGCTTTTACTTGATTTGCTTTGGGTTACTTTGCTACCATCCTTGTTATATCTACTTGAATGCAATGGTTAATTGAAGGAATTTTCCTTTGGAACAAAAAAAGGCTTTTATTGTTATGAAATTGGATATGTTATGGGTATATATAACCTTTATTTTTTAATTTTTTCTTTTTGTCCTCTTTTTATTTGTAATTCCCCAAATTCATTTCATGCTTTGCAAAGATACAAAATCCGTATTCTTGAATTTGACAATTTATATAAATTGAAGAATTGATATTACTAGTTGCAGTTTTATACTGTTCTTAGCATGAACATTATGAATTTTGTTTCCATAGAAGTTGAGAATATATTGAGAGCAAGAAAGTTTAATAAAAAATAAAAATAAAAAAAGATGATTGTTTGGGTTTGTTTTTATCTTCTTTCTCGTAGCATAGAGGAGTACTAGAAATGAGTTAGTTTTTTTTTTATTTTTTTTCAAACTACCCAGAATTCTCTTGACCTTTCTTGTGTTTATAAAGTTTTAAAATGGGGGCTACTTCTCGACCTTACACATTTCATTCACAGTGTGAATTTGACAGAACACAACACATACATGTAAATAATGTAAATTGTACCTTCAGTTGCATCATTATATTTTATGCATTATTTTTTTGTTTTTCTGATTGTTAATATCTGTCATGTGATTTGAGTACATATATTGAACATAATTGGTCTCCTACAGCTCCCTATTACGTAGTGTGGGAGGTCCAAGACATGCCAATCATAAGTTTGAATTTTTGCATCTATGATCTGCACTTGACTAATGTTTGAGGGAGCATGTGTGTTTACTAAAAGTTTAATAAGTGAATAACATTTTACATTTCAGGGGCGTGGAAGTTATGAAGATCGAACTGAAATGCTTCAACTTATAGTTGATCTTGTGGAGGCGAGCATCTATGCTGATAATCCTGATTGGAGGTTGATATGACTGACTTTAAATTAGTTGAGAAATTATATTTGCTTTCATGGAAGACATGTATAACTAAATTTATTATTTCCACTTGTGTATTGGATGTTCATGTTCTTTTTTTTTTTTTTTTTTTCTTCTCGTTTAGCAGCGTTCCTGATATTTATTTTGTATACTTCTGCAGCATTGATGAGCAAGTAGCAAAGGACATACAACTAATAGACTCTATTGCAGAGAAACAAGCTCTTATTTTCTCAGAAGAATGCAAGTTGTTCCCTGCAGATGTGCAGATTCAGTCAATATATCCATTGTAAGAACTTTGTTTCTTTATCCGCTATGTTTACATCTTTTTCTCTAATTTGATTGTTACAAGATGTTAGGGGGTTAAGAGTTTTTTCCATTGAATTTTTGAAGCCTAGCTTATTTGAATGCTTGATTCATCATATGTACGTGTCTTTGCTAATTAAAATTATTTTAAGTACAAGCAATGTCTTTTTGTGTGTGTTTGATTTCTTCTGATGTTTGCCAAAGTTATGTGTCATTGCAAAACGTTAGACTAATCTACCACTAGTCTTCACTACTACATGTCACAACATTAATTTTCATTAGTACATCACTTCATTAGCAACCCTCTGATATATGTCCAGTTCAATAGAAACTGGAATGCTAGAGAGTGTAACTCTTTTTTACATACAACTTAAGTTGAGCAAAATAATACATATTCGCGCTGCACTTCTTTTTGCTTATTTTTTAGTATGGTATGGGTGATATTTCCCCTTCATACCAAAAGAATTTAAATTCTTTGTATAACAAAATCTTTGTCTACTGTCATAATAGCACTTTATCATTAAGAAATAAGGTGTAGAGAATTGGAGAAAAGTAAGTTTAGTTCTCTTTTCTAATGGAAGGAGCAGAAGATGTGATTATATTTGAATATGAAAGGGTGTATAAATCTAAATTTAAATGAGGTACAATGAAAAACTGGGTGTATAGAGTATCCTTCTGGATGAATATCCCAATTCTTAGAAAAGGACCATATTAAGTTGTAATAGGTATGTTGTAATATGTCCAATACTAATAGGAAGTAAGTTTATAATGATTTTGGTTTTTTGTTTTTCAGAATTTGCAAATGTCTCTCGGGGTTTGTCATAATTACCATATGATTGTGTGGACTGGCAAAAACCTTCTCCTCCTTTTAGACTTCTCCCTGTTTAAGATTCAGACTCAGTCCTTTGCTAAATGTGTGATAAGTTTTATGAAAGACAAATACAATCCTGTTTATGATAACCCCTGTATATTTTGTGTTAGTGTCAGTATGGTTACTTTTATTACTAGATTTAGTAACATTCTGTTCCATCATTCAAAATTCATTTGTAGACCAGATGTTTCTGAGCTGGAGACAAAGCTTTCAGAACAATCAAAGATACTCTCGAATCTTCAACAGAAGGTCACAGATTTGGCATCTAAGGTTTATCCCTGTTCCTTAGCTATTTATTTTTGTCTGTCTTGTCCATTGTTCACTAGACTACTCTAGACTGATCAGCTTCCCATGGGTTGTCTCTGGCATCAACTTTTCCTATGTATGCTTTGAGACCACAGTAAGCATAAATAATAATGACAATTAATATGATGGAAGCTTTAAGTCACTTAATTTACTTGCTTGAATTTAGCGTTGCTGTGAGGTGAAACTTGGTTTAGCTTTTTTCTTCTCCCACTTGTAGGTTGCCTAGGTCATTAGTTTTGATGGGTGGAGCTCTTTCTTCTATGTGATTCTAATCCTGTAAAGTGATATATATGATGTTCAAGCATTTTCTAGTGCCAAAATCTTGGGATCTGTTCAAATCTTACCTGAAGTATATTTAGGTCATGGTAATTGATATTCTAATTATTACTTCTTGTGGATTGACGACATAATGCTCTTATTCGGACTCATTCTAAAATTTCACCATTTCATCACGAAATGGTTTATTTTCAAATTTTATTTTTTTTTGCCAGTGAATATTTCCCAAACTTCCATTTTGTCTCTTCTTGTTTTTTCTTATGCTGTTTGATAGTATATGTCCTTGTGTTACTTTCTGTCAGCATGCTTACAATCCAGATGAGGAGTATGCAGAGGTGGAATCCCAACTTCGGGCTAATCTGGAATCTTTTCTTGAAACCGCAAGATCATTTAATACAATTTACACCAAGGTTTGCTCCTCTCTTGCTTTTACTTGATTTGCTTTGGGTTACTTTGCTACCATCCTTGTTATATCTACTTGAATGCAATGGTTAAATTGAAGGAATTTTCCATTTGTAACAAAAAAAGGCTTTTATTGTTATGAAATTGGATATGTTATGGTATATATTAACCTTTATTCTTTAATTTTTTCTTTTTGTCCTCTTTTATTATTTGTAAATTCCCCAAATTCATTTCATGCTTTGCAAAAGATAACAAAATCCGTATTCTTGAATTATGAAAATTTAATATAAATTGAAGAATTGATATTACTAGGTTGCATTTTTTTTAAAACTCAGTGACCAAATAGAAAATTTTATTTCATTTTTGAAATTTCCATGTAGTACAAAAAATATGCTTGCCCTAAAATTTTTCTCTGTTTTGACCTACTCTGCAATTTCAATAACATGATTGGAATTGGAATTGAAATTGATGATCAACCTAAAGTTAATTGTAATATCTGTTATGAACAACTTTTGAGCTGGACTCTTTGTTTATGTAGTTTCTTGAGTAATGATATCATGCTCTTTGTAGGAAATTCGCCCCTGGACTCACATGATGGAGGTACCACAGCTTCATGGGTTTGGGCCTGCTGCCAATCGCTTGTTAGAGGCATACAAGATGCTTTTAAAGGTAAACAGTGATTGTTCTTCTTGTTGTCTCTTCCTTTAATCATCTCATGTAGCAGATATCAGGTGGTTCTTCACTGAAAGGAAAGTCATTTATCACTTTTAACAGCCTAGCTATAGACACGATGACAGTGCATTATGCCTTTAATTAGTAAGCTATATCTTGGCTAGATTTGCCACTGATTATATACAATAGTTATTGGGAATCTGATTGCTGATTTATGACTTCAATTTTCCTTAGTACTGCTAACTTAGTTTTGCATGATGTTGTGTATGCTAACTCTTTATAGACCCTTTTACACGTAACACATGTTACACGAATTTTCATTTTGGTTTAGTTTTGTGGGTGGAAAGAAATTGAACGATTGGCTAGTTTCTTCATTATGATGTAATTGCAAAAAACTGATGCATTATGGCACATTTTGTTCTTAAAATATTGGACAATCACCGGTTGTTATGATAACAGAATAGATAAAGTGTATCCAAACAATGTTTTGTTCATATTATGTTTGTCATTATTCTAGTTTTGATCTATGTTATAGACTAAACAGATGTGTCTTATTTTATTTTGGGATTAGCTTGACTATTAATTTGTAATTAGAAATCCTTTTATTGCAGTTCTTAGGTAACTTGAGAAATCTTAGGGACTCATATGCAGCCCTTGGTGTTGGATCGTCTGAAACAATTGCTGGCGAGCCCTCTTCAGTCACAAGAATTATTTCAGAGTGTGAATCTGCCTTAACATTTTTAAACCATGATCTTGGAATTCTTTCGGCCTCAATTGCGCGTGAGCAAGGTGAAAAGGTGACTTTATGAAATATTTTTAAAAGATAGGGAAGACTGTCACCTCCTCTACTTCTTTTTTTTGATATGTTTTCCAGTTATATTTTCCAAAGCCATCTTAGCTTTTTGATTTCTTTAATCGCTTAATTGATTGTTAATTAAATTCCACTCTGAGGAAATGATGAGTCTTAGAGGCCACATTTTTAGTTATAGTATGGTGTTTTGTATCTGTATCATGGTGGTGTGTAATTTGTAGATATGAATTTCATGACTTTTATACGCTAATATTGCTCTAGTTACGATTGAATACGATAAGGTTTACATGATTAGTCCATTGTCCTTATGTCACTGACTTTTAGTCCAGTTAATTACATTAGAACTCATTAGTAGGTGACATGATAATGTATGATCCATGTTGGAAACTAGCTTGGTATGAAACCCTCAAAACTCTAGTATATTATCGAACTAGAAGGGATAAACTTTTGAATAACTTTTCTCGTTCAATAGTGTTACTATGCTTGCTGCAGATTTGTCTCTCCGTTGATGCTTATTACTGGTCTGAATTCTTAGTTTTGCTAAGAGTTTTGTTTTTATGATTTTTTCATGACTGCTTTGCTACATGTAAGGTTTATACGGAAGTGGTATTTTCTTGAGGAAATCACTCATGACTGATAAAACCTTGAGGCTCTGCATTTTCACAATGTCTCACTCTATTTCCTTACTAATTTAAGGTAAAAACTATGGTATTGAGCGCTGAGATTTTTTTTATGTTTTTGGGTTTAAATTTGAGCTCCGAAGATTGTACTGGGTATTTTGATTCCAAGGGGTGTATGTTTTCGGTGAACTGGTATTGAAAAGGCAGGACAGTACAAATATCCTTATAACTTGCGTGGAAGGAAGCAGTACTATTTCTAACATGCACTAAATTTCTAATAGTGCTATGCTAACCGCAAATTCGAGATCCATGGAGCTGAGCTCAGGGTCTCATAGGTCTCATTTTTGTACGCCCTGTTTAAAGCTTTCTTCCTCTTACCGTTGCATGGTTTTAGGTAATTTCAAATTGTTATTATCTATTATTTATAATTAATTAATTGTATTTATTAATAATTAATAATTGGGATTTATTAATATTTGGTAATTATAAATAAATATTAAACAAAATTTTATTATTAAAAGTAAATAAGTATTTATATCATTAATAATTTTTTATTAAAATTTGTTTAATTTTGTTTATTATATCAGAATATTGCTTAAGCGGTGTAAAGTTTGCTTATTGGCAAGATTTGACATTTTGACGACATTGCAAGTTGTTTCCATGGATAGACTATACAGTAAAACTTTTCTATAGTTATAATGGTGAGACTAACTAATTTTATTACTATAAAGAAGTTATAATTTAATAGAGGTGTAATTACAAAAATTATTGTATTGATTTTTTATTTTATAATTCATGTTTTAGTAGTATAGTATTATAATTTCAATTCATATTTTAGTAGTATTATGATTTCAATTCAGTGCTATAATTGTCTACTTTTGAAACGAATAGAAGATTGTATCTTGGAATCAGCAAAGATAAGTGTCATTGATAAAATTGTAAATGCACTTAATGCATGGTCAATTGATGTGAAGCCACAAACAATTGTCAATGCTTTTAAGCACTACAAAATTAGGACCCCCAATTTCAGTGAATTGCAAGTTACAAATGAAGTGGATGAGGAGAATATAAGAGTCATTGCAGAATTGAGGGATCAGATTTGATAATTTCATCATTTTAAGCGAATGGATAATCATCTTAATCGAATGGATATTAATGTCTTCTTTGATCATCCAAATAAGTGACAAATCGTGTATGTTTTAATTAAAGAAGAAATCATTGATCCAAATAAGTGACAAATCGTGTATGTTTTAATTAAAGAAGAAATCATTGCTACAATTAGACAAGAAGATAAATGAAATAATCTTGAAGATGATAGTACGAAAATTCAAAAAGTTTCATGCCATGAAGCTTTAAACATGCTTGAGAAGCTAAAAATATTTTAGCTTCAATAAAAAGATGTCCATGTTGGCGAGCTATTACGTATTCGCAAGGTAAAAGATATGGTAACAATTCTAAAACATAAATCATTGTCCCAAACAACTTTAGATAAATATTTTATTTCATCTTAAATCTTTAATGTAACTTAACATATTTTTTTTTTTTTTTGTAATATACATATAATTATTACTATGTAGAGACAACTTTTCTTAAGGCGGTAATTAAAAAAATTATAACCTATAACAATGTGTAGTTTATTCTTATTTATAACTATCCCAAATTGGGACTAGAATTTTTTATGACTGTGTAGAATTTATTTCTATATAAAGTATCACTATAGAGAGGTTTTACTATATTTGGAAAGAAATATTCTAAACAAAATATCAATGATCTGAAACACGGACTGGTCGGCTTGTCCAGTTCGATCGGGTTTCACTCCTCACTTGTAACACCCACAGTAAGGTACGTAATTTATTTATGCCCTAATACCCTTAGTTAGATTTCTTTGAAGTTACCTTAGACAAATGTGAAGAAAACCCCTTAAAACTTCATTATGGGTAAAATGATATTTTTACTCATAAGTAGATGAAAAAATGGAGAGTGAAAGGAAGCAAAATAATGTGAAGAAGATAATAGAAATGAGGGTATTTTGGTAATTGACTAAAAGATATAGATGAGATTTCATAGAAAATGCAAGGGTAAAATGGGAATACATGCATATATTATTATATATAAGGTTTCATTAGAAGAAACCCTAACCTATTTTCAGCCTTGTACATGCCACCCTCACCTTTTTTTCTCTAAAATTTCTTCACTAAATTCCAAAGGGAAATCATAGGATTTGGCTTAAATTCTTATAGCTTTTCAATCCTAAAGTATCCAAAGGTAATATTCTAGCATAAGGAGTGTGATTAAACTTTAAAGTTTTAAATTCTTATGGTTTTTATATGATTTACGTCCAAGAGGAAGAAACTTTTAGCAAAAGGAGGTTATATCACACATTCAAGGTAAGTAAACCCAATTTTAGCCTTAATTTGAGCAAGACTTGTGTGGAATGATTCTTGCATGTTTGTATGTGATTGTATGTGAGAATTGTTGGCTATTTTTTATGTTGAATGATGTGTAATTTCCAACCATGAGAAGTAATGCTTGAGTATGTGATGAATTGGTGGAATTATAGAAAAATTAGTGATGGAATTTTGAAGTGTTGAGGATTGTTGAAAACAGCCAGGTTTGATGCTATAACTAGTGAGTTTTTGCTTAAATTTTGGTGGATTTAGAGAGATGTGGAAGTGTAGCCAACTTAGTAGTTGCATGTGCATATGAATTGTTTGATGAAAATTCAAAAAGAAAATGCATGCATGAGTTGGCCAAACCCTATTGAAGAAATGGTTAAAGAAAGGCAAGAATTGAAGTAGAAAGATTATGTTGGGCTTCACTAAGTGTAAATTTTAGTATTCAATAATGCATTTTGTTATGCCAAAAATTTAGAATATTACTTGGTCATGTTAGTTCCATAGAGAGATGACCCTTAGTGTTTGGTTCTAGTTAGTTGAACCTTTACTACTTCTTGAATAGCACATGAAAGTGTTAGAAAAGAATTGCATGTTAAAGTGTTACTTTGATATGACATTGTTGATAGTAGAGAATGGTATAATATGTCATGACATATCAATATGTCATAATGAATTCTCAAGTTTGTGTATGTGAACTTGGAAATGAGAGAGAATGGGCTTGATCATGCATATATTGTGCATATAATTTATTTATATATATAACATTGATTTGGTAAATGAAAATATTAAAGAAAATGTTAGCAAAGAATCAGAAAAAGAAAGAAAAGAAAATGGCTTATAGATTCTTTATAAGCGAACATGTACATATGTATATTTTCTCATTTACTAAAGCATGCAAGTGTAGAATTTCCATAGCTTAGAAATTTATTTAGAAAAATATATAGAATCTCTTTCTATTCTCTTTTTACAGCACGTTATGTTAGAAGGTTGTTGCGATAGGGAACCTGTGAGTGACAGAAATGCAAAAAATTATCACATGCATGCCGCCATCAGTGAGCGGCCTTAGCATAGAAAAACAATATTTGTACAGTCCGTCAACAGTGCATGTGGATGAAGACTGTACCCAGCAGAAAATTCTTACATGCACGCCACCATCAGTGAGTGACCTCAGAATAGCAGAACGGAATTAGTATAGTCCGTCAGTAATGCATGTGGATGAGGACTGTACCCAGAAAGAATTTCATAATACACTCACATGGCTAGGGTTCCAAATCCATGCCTCAACCTAGTCCGATCGGCAAATCAGAATAGAAAACAGAAAAGAAAAGAAAGAGAAACAAAAATAGAAAACAGAAAAGAAAAGAAAAGAAAAGAAAGAGATACAACATAAGAGATAGAAAACAGAAAAGAAAAGAAAGTTCATTTCTCAGAAAAAGTTTATTATTCTGCATATGTATTATGCTATTTGCAATATTTAGCATTTCTTATGTGCTCGACGATGTACAGTTTTATTAATTGTCTTTGCATGTTGGTAAGTAGCAAATCAGAATATCAGAAAATATTAAAGTGAGAAAAAGAAATTTAGAATATAAATAACAGAGGAAAAATAGTAGTGCAGTTTGGTTTACTTACTGAGCAATTAGTGCTTATTCCGTTATTTTACTGTTTTACAGGTACTAGATGATATACGATCAGGTGGGACGTCAGTAAGCAAAGGAGTTGAGCAGCACTGTCCAATAATATTTTGTACTTATTAAAGTATAATAGTTATTTTGTGTATATATTTATATGAATTAAAATTAAAACTTTCGGATTTTACATTATATACATATATGTATATATGTTTACAAAAGTTATTTAGTAGATTTTGTCATATATTTCTCAAAAAATCACTAGCTAGAGAGAATATTACATCACTCCCATTTAATAATGTTTAAAACATGGTTATGTTTATTGAACCGTTTTGGACCGTTGTTGGATCGATGAAATAGTGTCAAACTGTCGGTCCAACTGGATCAGATGGAAAACCGGTCCACTACACATTCAAAGTCAACATCCCGAAAAGGCTAAAACAAAATCTCATTCTCCTCCTTTATCCATCTTTGAGTTTGAACAAATCAATTCAAAACAAACAAAACCCTAAGCATTCACTTCACTTTCCAGCATAGCCAAGAAAATACTTTCTTGCTATCCAAACACTAATTTGAAAAGGAAAGAAAGATTTAATCCGGTTCACAATTGGCGAGCTCGAAATGGCTTGAAAGGTGAAATAGAGCATTTGGGTGTTTCGTTGTGTAATTGAGTTGGATTTGATATAATTGAAGAAAGTGAGGGCTTGTGAAGAGGAGGGAAAGTGATGGCGATTTAAGAAAAGAAGAGTTGGAGAGGAAGAAAAGAGGAGTTGATTGACTTGAGACGAGAGAGGTTCCCTTTCATTATGTGGGTTTGGACTTTTGATGTCCTTCGCAGTTGAGATGAGTTATGTTTTTTTTACTAATGGCAGCGGCTGCAATTGTGGGGGAGTGGCGTTCACAACGGAGAAGAAAAATTGGTGGCGTTGATAACTTGATAACTTCTTTAGGGTTTATATATTTAATAAATTCAAATTTTTTATTTTTGACATCAGCTGATGTCAGTATGACGTCACTAGTTTGACCGACTGGTTAGACTGGTCAAATATTGTAGTAGGCCTTGACTGAGTTAAGCCCGGTCTTGACTGTGAAATTGCAAATATTGTGGTGAAAAGATTAAAGAGTTTGGATAAATCGTCCAGTCCTAATTTTGAGAGAATAGACATTTGGTGCCTCATAGCACATGAATTCTTTATGGTCATAGGACAAGAATTGATGTAGATTGAAATAAAATTAATGTGAGAAAAGAATCTCAATTTTAATTTTAATTGTCTTATAGTGCCATCCTTTGCATAAAGAGAGAACAATCAAGGATTAACAACAATTTTTTCTACACGTATTACAAGGATTAAAATGAAAACTAAAAAATTAAGGCTCCTTTTGGATACTTTTTTTAAAGCATTTGTCAAATTCTATTCTACATACATTTTTAGGATAGGATTATGAGCATGTGTTTTAGTAGTTTGGAAACATTTTCTAAATATTTAGATTACTTTTTAACACCCTATATTTGTTAATTTAGACTAAACATCATCTACAATAAAAGTTTATAAATTATAAAAACACCCTCACCCCACCCATTAATTGCCAACAGCCACCACCGCGTTAGAACGTGGGGTCGAAAGTTGCCGGAATAGCGCAAAACGGTTGGATCTGGCCAGTCATGCGCCAATCTGGCATTTTCCGACCAAATCTTAACCTTCGTTGATGGCTAAACGCGACTAGATTTTTGTCATCAACGACCATATCATTGGTCGTAGATCTGATAGGAAAATGGCCAGATCGGCGCATGACCGGCTAGACATTTTGGCCGTCAACGACCATATCATTGGTCATAGATTTGGCAAGAAAATGGAGATCGGCACATGACCGGCTAGATCTAGTCGATCGTGCGCCATTCCAGCAGCGGTGACTGCTAGCTGGTGATAGGCTGGGTGGGTGGGTGGTGTTTTATAATTTGAAACTTTTATAAGAAAGATAATTATTAATGTTTTGAGTTGAATATAATATGATTTGATTTTGAGAATATTAAAACAAATGTTATTTTTCATTTTGGATAGGATAGTAGAGTAGGATATGATAAAAATAGATGGCCAAACGCAACTAAATCAGCCACAACAAACACTTAATAAATTAATATTCAAATGTTTTCAGCGTAAAATTTATTATGCTTTTTTCTTATTTACATTCCAAAGAATATATATCAAGGTAATAAAAATACTAATTCGGGTTATAAAATGTACTGAGAAATGTGTTTTTCTATTTTTTGTGAACAAATTATATTGATGTTGTTAAAAATTTGACCTTTTGCCATGTGATTTCAGGGTACACATAGATTATCCATATTTTTATAATATTGGAATTATGTAATAAATTATGAAAAAGGTGCACATTAAGATTATCCAATTGGAATTATGTATAAATTATGTTGTAGTTTGGCCTTGCGACTAGTGAGGGACCTAGGATTTTTTTGCCTGAAGGGGCCTCTGCGGCTCCATCATTGTCTGTCAAACAACTAGTAAAAACTTTAAAAAAATCATCAAACCTGAAATAAATAATACAATTCAAGAACCTGAAATGAAAGAATGTATAACACAATACTTTCATACTTAATAAAAACTATGAAAAATAAAAGCTTGAGCAAATGTTTTGAAAATAAAATTAAATTCACAGGAAACACAAAACAATTTACGTGGAAAAACCTCTTCAATGTGGAGAGAGCAAAAAACGACGGGAAATAACGATCCTTAAATTCATATATCAAAGAGTTTACAACAACCACAGTCCACTAAAAATATTCCACACAAATTTCTTATTTCTCTTTTTTTTTTTTTTTTTTTTTTTTTTTGGCTTCCAAAGATTATAATAAAATTTTCATGATTTTGATCAACCTAGCCTAAATTAAAGTTGACTAAAACTTAAATCAAGTCCACGTTGTTGACTTTTAATATGAATGAATAAAAAATGAAGAATTTTTTGGTATAAACATAATAATAACTCAAATTTCTTAATAATTTTGAGTAGTTAAACGGTGACTTTGAAATGTAGGAAGTGGTGGGTAAATGTGGAAGAATAAACGTCCAGTAAAATTAGTTAAGGTTTAATTTGGAGAACAACAAACCTTATGAGACACAAAACAAACTCACAAGATCCATGTATTTTTTCATCAAATTAGAATAAAAAATATCTAAAAAAAAGTATGATTCAACCCTAAAATAAACTAAATTGAAATGAGCAATACACATACTTAAAACTGATAAAATAAAAAACGGAGCTAATTGTGACACCTTGAATAATGAAAGCTTCAACAATTTCAATCTTCAAAAATTTTAAGAGCGAATAGCTTAAGAAAGAGAAGGAAAGAATGAGAGAGTAAAAAATTTTGGGGTAGAATCATAAAAAGCAGATAAAGTTATGAAAAGAGTTTTAAACTTTTAATATAATATAAGCTCGAAATATATATATTAATAACAAGTTTTTAGTGGGCTTGGATATATATATATATAGTTCTCATTTTTTAAAAGTCTGAGAGTATGCCTAGATAAGTTGATATATATATATATTAATAACAATTTTTTATGGGCTTATATAAGCAATTTTTTTTTTTTAAATCTAAGGGTAAGCCTAAAGGGGCTGGATCCGCCCCTGCTTGCAACATCCAGTAGAGGCATAGGGTGCCTCATGGCAGCCGCTTGAGGCCACTAAAGGCTTTGCAGCCACTTGAATGGCTTGGAAGCCTTATTGGCAACATTGATAAAGGCTAAACAAGGCCACTCGACAATTGTCAAGGCCAGATCTAGACCCTTTGTGGTTGGATAGAGGTCAAATATAGTTTCCACACATGTTAATAGGTGAGATCAAGCTCGATGCTGCTGAGGTCAAATTTGGCTTCTCGATACCTGAAAAAGTTAGATTCGGTTCTATGGGCATTTATAAAAGCCAAATTTGGCCTTTAAACAACTAGTAGAGGCCTAGTTCGGCTCCGGGAAGCCCATTGAGGCATTTCCTTGCAAGCAAGGGAGGAAAAAGAAGAGGGGGAGGAGAAATAGGAGACGCATGGGAAAGGGAAAAAAAAAAAAATGGAAGTGGCAGAATTATGCTATTGTTTCCTTGAATAAGGTATATTCAAAAATACCTTTTTTTTTTTTTTAAATTACAAACTACCAATTTGTCAGTCAACTTTAAGAGTGTGTTTGGCTTAAGAACTGTTGTATTATTGAGAATGTTATATTAATAGAAAGATAGATTACCTTGAAAATTACTGAGAATGTTTATGGAAATGTGTTGATTAGGTTGGAATAAATTGGTGGGTATGTTATATTGATATGTTTGGTTGGGAGAAATAAATTGGTGGGTATGTTATATATATTACTAAATTACCCTCCTTTTTAAATATTAATATACTATTTTTTTGAATCATTTTTAACCCCCTACATTTGAGATTTTGCTAAACACTTCAGTCACATAAAAGTTTAATTTCTAACAAAATCACTCCTACCCACCCCAAGCCACTGCCGACCACCACTGCGGTCGCAACAATAGTGGCCAGAACTGCGTACAATCGGCTCTGGCTATTAACAACCATGATTTGGTCGTTATTTGTTGACGACGACTAGAAGCCATAAATCTAGCTGGAAACGGCTAGAGTGATGCATGTAGGCTAGATTTGACTGATCATGCACCGTTCTGGTGACAATGACTAGAGGTGATGGCCAGATTCGGCCACCAATCTTGGGTAATTTTTTTTTTCAAGTTCAAGGGTATTTTGTTAGGTTAGGTATACTAGAGCCAATAATATTAGACTCTTGTAATATTATATTGAATATCAATAAAGACATAAATTCTATGTCATAGCATTCATTTATATATTTGTATATATATAGATATATGTCCTTAAAATGGTTGAATCGTGAAAAAGGAATTCAATGTTTTAAATCTTAATTGTGAGAACCTTATGATCACATATGGTGGCCATTATACATATTTGTATATCATAGCAATCATTTATATATTTCTATATTATAGCCACTACAAGAAATTTAACATTTAGGGACGAAAATTTTCATCACATAAAGTGCAAAATTCGTCCTAAAAAGTAATGTGGGACGACAGACCAAATCGTCCCCAAAGCCGCGTCGCCAAAGGATAATGCCCACGAAATACGGTTTCGCTTTCGTCCCAAAGCCATGCCATTGGGGGCGAAATACGGTTTCGTCGTTAAAAATTATTTATTTTGTGACGAAATTTTTTGTCCACAAAAGAATAATTATTCGTCCCAAATGAGACTGTTTCGTCCCCAAAAAAAAGCACAATTAGGGACGAAACAATTTCGTCCCTAACTGGATCAATCATTGGGGACAAAAACTTTCGTCCTTAATTTTATGATGAATTGGGGACAAAAATTTTAGTCCCCGATGTTGTAGTGAATTGGGGACGAAAAATTTCGTCCCTCATGGTATGATGAATTGGGGACGAAAAATTTTCTCCTTGATTGGGTTGATAATATGATGATTAACCGTAGTCCCAATTTATGAATCAACCCTACTAATTTTCCTTCATGATAATACCCAGATTCATTTTCACTTCACTATATAAACAAACAAAGCAACAAAAGCTTAGTTTCCCAAATCAAATTGCACTTCTTTATTAACAAAAACTGTCAACATTACAATTCCTACTTACCCACTACCACAGAATCTTCTAAGTAAGTTTCAGGATTCCAATCCCAAAAGAGTGAAACAAGAAACAAAATTGCAAACATCTTTGTTCTTTCCTATAGCCCAAAATCTTCAATGCTGTCATAGTTTCTTGTTTGCTTCCATCCCTACTACTTCGAGCTCAAGTTTATCCGCCCTAAATGCAATCTCTTTGTCTTCAACAACATTTTATTTACAATTCAGATTTTCTTGATTAGCTTCAAAGAATGATTTACCAGTTATTCCTCATCAAGTTGTTGTCGTTGCGACGTTAGTTGCTCTACTAATCTATCCAATGCTTCCTTCAACCACCCATATTGACTTTGACCAGCTTTTCTGGCTCCTGCCACACTCATCTGCACAAAAAAAGTGACATAATTATCAAAAAAATTTCTTTATAAGATATCTAACCAGAAATAGCTTTCTGAATGCCTTTGAAAAATAACATCATTCACAATAATTTTTCCTCCATTTTACCGTCCGTTCAATTACCCACTGTTAACCGAGTGTTCTATATAAAATTTACCATGTATATTAGACACATTTATGTCAACGATGCCATTACTCAGACTGATCAACACAACCAAAACTCAGAAGAAGACAGAAGAAGAGTTTTGATTGTAAGGGCAATAATTAATTGCAGTAGAGCCTGCCAATTTCAAGAATATACAACAACAGAAATCAAAATAAATAATGGTCATTACTGCTTCCAATATATTGTCAAGCACATGAACAAGAAAAGTTTCCCAGAAAGTTGAAGAGGGATTACATACCTGAGATCAATGCCCATAAACTGAGGATTCAGCTGTATTCCAACCACCTAAAGAAATTGAACGAAAACTTCTTTCACATAACATTTATGACATTTTATATCTGCAATGTATGTGTGGCATTATATACAGGACGTGAGGTATAATTCAACAGACTTCCAACTACAATTTCTTAGTTATAGTATAGCAGGAAAAACTGAAAGAAGTCATGTACATAAGAGTGAGCAGTGACATTATAAGAGATTAATCAAAGGTATTCGTCGTGTACCTATATCCAATAAGAAAGAGACATGATCAAAATAAGAAAGACACATGATCAATGCACATTTTGTAAAATAACTTAATTTGATTAAAACCAATAAACAATTACAAGTTATTTACTGTTAAATACATTTAATCCAAAATTATCTGGGTACATTCTATCTCCAAATTTTGAAAAGAAGGTCACAGTTGAGATTTGGATAGGTAAAATTTTTTAAATGAATTCCCCACCCAACTTTATCGATTATATTGAAGTTTTCCTTTTTGTTTTGGGAGAAAAGCAAAATTCAGAAAGTTTTAAAAGGAAACAAGAAAGCCACTTGAAAATGTAGGGGCTTTGTCTAGCTGACAGTGAAGAAAGGTGTTGTTTAAGGAACTGTGAGTGGACACATTTTGACCTTTTTCCATAATAACAGTAAAAGGCACAAATTTGTTTACCCAAAAAACAAGGCACAATTTTTTATCCACCGTTACTTCACATACTGAATGCCCATAGGTGCGCCCAAAGCAATAGCTCCTAAAACATTTACCAGAGCCCCTGCAAAGTAAAAGATGGATCAGTTATCCTATGTTATGCAGAAAAACAAAGGGAACTCCTCATCTTTAATAGCATTTTCAGAAATTCGTCTACTTTTTTCCAACATAAAATCCAAAAAATAACCAAAATGCAACAACTCCACAGAACCAAAGCTTTTCTCCCACCAAAATCAGTGTTTGACAACAATCAGCATTGTAGAGAGCTTCTTGAGTCGTGAAGTTGAAATGAAAGAATTAAAAGTCAAAATCCTAAATTGAAAATACTATTGACAACAATAATCACCTTGAGCCGTGAAGTTGGATTTAGAATGAATTTCTAAATGTCATAAATGTTATGTGAAAGAAGTTATCACTCTGAAACTTTCATCATTTCAAGCGACAATGCCTACTTTGAGTTTCAAAATACTCATGACACAGCATAAAACATTAAAAAATCTGTATTTCAAGCCAGATATACTACTAAATGTTTATTCAACATCATACTATCCTATTTACAAATTATAACATGATAAAAGTCACAAAGCCCCAAGTAATTTTAGGAATTGAAGATGATTATATAATTACAAGCCAGTGGATAAACACGGAGTAGCGAGTACTTACAGTAGGTGATATGAAATCCATCTGGGTACCAATTCCAAGTAGCACAACCAACAATACAAGCATACAAAACAGTTAACCCATTCGAAACATTAAAAAATACAAAATATAACACATCAAAATTCTAAAGAACTTGAGCAAATGAGTAAGCAAACAGCTAATTAAAACAATACATTGCATCGATAATGAAGTCGAGTGCAAAGGGTCGATGGTGGAGTCAGAAGAAGTGGAAAGGTCCGAGAGGTCGGTTTGGTTGGATTGAGCACGGAGAGATACAAGGTGAGACGATGGGCTGAGGGGAAGGAGGTGACGCTTGTGGCGGGGGTGGAGATGGATTTGTTTAGAGAGAGAAAGAGGGATCTAGCCATCGGTTTTGGAGGAAATTTGAGTGAAGATTGCGAAAATCTCAATTGAGAGAAGAAGACATTTTGGGGCAAAAATTTCGGGTTAATGGATATTAGGTTTCGGGGGACGAAAACTTTGGGACATTTTGGGACGAAAATTTTGGGTTAATGGGTATTAGGTTTTTGGAGACAAAACAATTCGTCCAAGAAAAATGTTTTTAGCTACAAAATGTTTTGTCCAAAAATAATATATTTTGTCCCTAAAAATATATTTTTACGATCAAGAATAAAATTATATTTTGTCCCTAATAAGTTTTCCAAATTTTGCACAATTAGAGATAAAAGATTTCGTCCCAGGAAATGAAGGTTTTTAGCTAAAAAACTTTTCGTCCAAAAATAATAAATTTCGTCCAAGAATGATTTTCCTCCATACTATTTCATCCTTCCCTTCAAATGGCATTGTTGGCGTGGGGCAAAAATTGAGTGCTAATCATTTTGTGACGAAATTACACTTTCGTCCCCTAAAATTAGACCTGGCAAAACGGGTGGGTGGGCCGGGTCAATGGGTACGGGTCAAACGGGTACGGGCCTTATACGGGTCCAATATTTTGGACCCGTGCCCTACCCTATACGGGTACGGGTGGACCTGTTTTTTCTCTCTCCAGATTTTAGTTTCTTTCACCCCTAATAGTTTTCAATTATAACAATTACACCCCCAAAATTCCTGCAGTTTTAAATTTTTTACATTTACACCCCCTAAATCAACTACTCTAAATTCAATTCAATTAAGAATATAAACAAATATGAACCAAAATAAATAAATAACACATAAACAAACAATAACATATAATACAAAACTACAAATACCAACCAAAATAAACAAATACAAAATCACTAATACACAATTACACATAAACAAACAAAATAAGTCAATAAACTATAAATACNACAGTCGTGACATTCTGAGTGATTTTTGGGCATCTTACATATTGAACTAGGTTGAGACCGAAACATAAAAGTTGTATCCCTGTCTCTAAGCTTTAAAACAAGACTAAAACTGTAGCAATCCAATATGTATAACTCAAGTTATGCCTTCTTGAGTGTGACCTGTGCAGAATGACTATCTTGATGCAACATTGCATTTGTGCATTTCATAAGTGCATTAACTAAGAAATTTTAAGCATGAACCATCCTTATACATTAATTGTGCATTGAGAAGTAGCTTGAGAAAGAGTATAGAACTTTGTGAATGAACTACTCTAAGAGTAGAGAGAATGAGAAAAATACAAAGAGCGGGTTGGTGCTTTGTGAACTCTTCCCGGCCGTGCCTCTGGTAAGATGAGACTGGGACATTCAAGTGAGAAAGAATGAAGAGAGAATGAGTAGAGTCACGAAAAGCAGGTTGGTGCTTTGTGAACTCCACCCGGTTGTACCTCCGGTAAGATGAGGTTGTGACTTACAATAGAAAATTAATAAAAGAGAGCTGTGTGAAAGAGAAACAGAAAGAGAAAATAAATGAGACGAGAAGTGTGTAAGGAAAGAATTAAGAGAAAGAGTTACGGGGATAGAGGAGTAGAGGATTTACTTGCTGAGCATTATTTTTTTGCTCACCCCGTTGTTTTTCTTTGTGTTTATAGGATCTAGGTGAGGACACGGTTGGATTGGTGTCGGCAAGCGAGGAGCAATAGCTACACTGTCCACTGTTTTTGATTACTTTTTGTAAAATGATATCTTATTTGGTAATAAGAATGTTTATATATAATAAAAGAAAATTTTGGGCTCGTCTACTTTTGTTGATATAAATGTATTTTACTTTATGTATTTCTATGAGTATCCTAGTATAAAGGAGTTATTACAGTTTTACTACCTTAGACCAACTAAGCATCATTTCTCACTCTCAACTTAGTCCATTAATTCATCTAATTCTCTGGCCCTCAAGAATAAAAAACATTAGGCACAATAATAAAACTTAGGAGGTTATCTCAATAGCAATTCAAGAGATTGGGCTACACCTTAGCCCTAGAAAATAAAGTTAATTCATAGCAAATATAAAAGAAACAAACATCTTTATTAAAACAAAAATCATCAGTTTAAGGAAGCACAAAGAAAAACTTCTCTATAATTTTTTTTCCAAAAGCTCCAGAAATTCTAATGCTCGTCTTTTCTTCTAATTGTTTTCCTTTTGATCTCCCCCCAAAAGTCTCCGTATTTATATCCCACAAGGGTTAGGGTTTCGTTTCCTCTCATTCTACTAAGTTTAGGACTCCTAAAACACCAATTTCCTAGTCAAACATGGAAATAAATTTTCTAGTTTTTGTGAGTGTGCCATGGTACCATGCCACAGCATGGGTGGTTTTGACTTTGTTGTGCTGCAGCACAGTGCCACGGCATGGTGTTGAAATCTTCTCTTCAATTGAAACCTTGCATCATTTGTCAACACTCCAGAGATGGTGATTTTTGAGCATGAAAACATTCGAATCTGGTCAAGTGGTAAACATATAAATGTGGCCCTTCAAATCAACTTTCCAATTGTCTCAATCCAAGGTCCACAGATCTTGTTATTGTCGAAATACCGAAGCATTTTCAAACTGAAGCGTAATCTAGAATCTTCTCTTTGACTTCAAAACTCCATAACTTCTTCAATTCAACTTCGATGCTCGGTCCGTTTGTTTGTACTCGTTACTCATTCCATTGTTGACATGATTCTTCATCTGAGCATAACATTTAGCATTAATAACTTGAAAAAACTCAAACAATTGTGATCCCATAAAAGACATTTATGACAATATTAAGCAAATTTAGCAATTTAAGCCTAATTTCTCACAAATAATCCCCATAAACCACTAAGTAAATGTGTAGTTTCAAGCTTTTATCACAACCCTCAACCAGCTTCTTCTTAGTCCCTTTCAAGCTAAGTGACAAAAATTAAGTCTTTTAGCTTGAAAATTAAAAACAAAATAAAACTTGCATCTAAACTATCCTAAATCACTTCCGTAGATTGACATGGTTGCATTTAGCATATGCAACAAGCCTTTAAACCCCTAGGCAGCCCTAGTTGGACATGTTGTAGTCTCGTGAGGGTTTTTAACGATGATACTAATAAACATCCAAACCTAACCTAGCCTAACCTAGACTCAAACAAAAATTTTCAGATCACTATGTATATTTGTTTCAAAAATTGTGTCTACATACACAATTCAAATAATTAACATCCCATAAATATAAATAATAAACAACTATTAATTAAACGTTTATTATAGACCCTCTCATATGAACAACGACAAACCCGGATGATTTTATGCACAACATCTCCCAAGAGTTTTTCTCCAAAAAAAAAAAAAAAAAAAAATCGATACAATCCTACAATCAAACTCCATAGGCTCACTTTTGAAATCACTCTCCACTAATGTAGAATCCAACACTACCTTGGATTATTAGGTCTTTATTATGGTTGTAATGTTAGTCTAGAGTAATGGTTTATGAAAGAATAGAAAGGAATTTTAACAAAATTAAGAGACTTAATTTTTCCTTCTCTTCTCTTCACCATCAATCTTTTCTTCTCACATTAACATACCCTTTTTTTTCGGTTTTATTTTATTTTAAGAAACAATTCTCTTTAAGGAAGAATACACAATCAAACCCCATCTTATCATTCCGCTCTTCCCACAACCCCCAACCTATCTAGTTGCATTAATTCAGGTTGTGATTCAATTTCACACAACTTCTACCCTCACTTCTTCAATTGATCGCACCAAGCTCGTGCTAGGATTTAGTCTCTCAAACATCAAACAGATAGGAATGTGTTTTAGGCTTATAATCAAGGTGGGTTATAGTAGGTGTAAAAAAAGAAAATACGGCAAATAATGTGTTTAAAATGGCCCAAAAGTGTTAACTAGTCATAAAAATCTAAAAGGTTGGCTTGAAAAGCTCAACCAGTCCAAAGAGAGAATTGTCTAAATCCTTTCCTAAGTAATGTGGAGGATTTCGCCTCAACTGGTTATCAAATGAGTTCTAGAGTTTATGCACAATTTTCAGAAAAATATTATTGCCCATAAAATCACACATAAAACGTCCCTAAGTTTCCGAATTACTCAACCAATCAAACCCATTCCCAAGAGAGTCGTAAACTAGATGAAATTGACACCTACTAACATCCTTACACTATGCAAAAGTTAATGTCTTCTCAAAGTTACATTTTGTCACAATCATAGTGCTATCATTTGCATACAAAATAATCCCATAACTAAACAAAATTGAAAACAAAATACAAAAAAAAAAAAAAAAAAAAATCCTCATAAATCCATAAATTCAAAAAAGTTTTGGAAGAGACTTCTCTTACCCCAACCTAGTATCTACATTGTCCCCAAGGTACATATGTAAACAAAAGGAAAAATTACCCCCTTTTTTAATAGTGAAGTGCGAATTCGCGTGATAATTCAATCACCTCCCTCATTTTATTCCATTGTTTAAGTCAAGTTCCAACTGAAACAAAGAGACTTTCAATGTACCTTATCGGCAACACACCTCAATTGTTAAATATATGAATTTAGAGAAACAAATACAACATCAGAAATTAAAAAAAAAAAAAATTTAATTCAAGTACAAACCAAAACAAATTCAAAACAAATTCAAAAAAAAATCAAAATTAAAGTAAAGAGCTTGGATTGCCTCCCTAGAAGCGCTTTATTAGAGTCGTAAGCTCGACCTTTTTTTTTTCTTTTTGACTCCTTAAATCTGAATTATCAAGGAAAATCAAATCCTTCATATCTTTAATGCCACCATCTACATAAAGCTTCAATTTCTCTCTTCCCCTCTTATTCTCAATTTCCTCATACATAGTCCTAAAATTGACTACTCAAGTTTCTGGGGGTGGACAAGGGTATTTTTCTTCTAAGGTTTCAGCTACTTTGTCATCAAGGATGCTAATCTCAAAAACATGTATCTACCTCGAATGGATACTTCATAGTATCAAAGACATTAAATTCAACTTGTTCATCCTTTACCCTAAAGATTAGCTTTCCTAAACATCTATCAGAGTCTTACCCATGCTAGAAAATGTCTTTCTAAAATTAGAGGTACTTCCCAATCTTCTTCCATATCAAGCACAATAAAATCTACTAGGAAATTCAATTTATCTACTTTTATTAAGACATCCTCTATTACTCCCCTAGGATATTTTATAGACCTATTTGCTAATTGAAGATGAACAGTGGTTGGTTTTACTTCTCCTAGGCCTAATTTCTTAAAAATTGAAAAGGGCATCAAATTTACAATAGCATCTAGATCACATAAAACCTTATCAAAATGAAAAATACCTATTGTGCAATGAATTGTGAAATTCCTTGGATCTTTGAGCTTTTGTGGTAGTTGCTTCAATAGCAACACACTACACTCTTTCGTAAGCATCACCGTCTCATGTTCTTCAAATCTCCTCTTCTTGGTGAGACTCTCCTTTAGAAACTTTGCATACTTCGGCATTTACTCTAACATGTCTACAAAAGGAATGTTAATGTGTAAACTTCCAAACATGTCCATGAACTTACCGAATTGCTTGTCTAATTTTCGTTTCTACACTCTGTGAGGATATGGAAGGGTCATTTCATCATTCATTGCCATGTGGGAAGTTTTGTTGGTTTCTACCCTTGTGCCAATACACTTTGTCGAGGCATGCTTACTTCTGGTTTCTTCTATGCCACAACATGGTCACTTTTGTCCACTTTTTCTTCTATGAGTTTTAGCCCTTTTTCTTCTTCCTTGATTGATTCCTTCAACTCCTTACCACATCTCAGCATGATAGCATTGATGCTCTCCTTCTGATTCTTCTTCGTATCACTTGGTAATGAACCTTGAACTCCTCCTAATAAAATACTATGTATTTGTCCCAATTAAGTCTCAAGGTTCCTTATGGAAGCGGATTAATTTTGCAACAAGTCCTCATATTTCTAGAGTTGAGCTTCATTCTTGTCAAATCTTTTACCCGATTTCTCCATAAACTTTGCAAGCACATTCTCCATGTTGGATTTCTTCTCTTGAGGTTGGAAGCCCAATGGTGGTTTGTGCTAATTGTTGTTGCTCCATGAAAAGTTTGGATAATTGCGCCATTTTGGAGTGTATGTGTTAGAGTATGGATTCCCTTGCCCTCACTAAAAATTGTTGATATAATTTGCTTGTTCCGGTTGAGCAAATGGATTCCCTTCTTAACAATCCTTTGACAAGTGATTCCCTGCGCAGAGTTCACAAGTTAGAGGAGAAGAATCAATTACATTTACCTTTAGAGCAGTACCCAATTGTTTCTGAATAGCTGAAAGTTGAGTAGCCAATGGGGTGTAACCATCTACATCATGCACCCTCTTAACTCTCCTTGGTAAATTCCATTCCGAAGACTTCAAGTAATTGTCGCTTGCCATCACTTCAATTAAATTGTAAGCTTCCTCTGCTGTTTTTTTTTTTTTTTTTTTTTTTTTTTTGAATTCAAAGCTCTCCCACTTGTAGCATCTATCATAGCTTGTATATTTGGCAGCAACCCATTGTAAAATGTTTACACTTGCGACCATATTGGCAATCCATGATGAGGACACTTCTGTAAGAGATCTTTGTATCTTTCCCAAGCTTCATAAAGTGACTCCATATCTTCTTGGTAAAAAGTAATGTCACTTCTCATCTTGGCAGACTTGATAGGTGGAAAATATTTCATAAGGAACACCTGAACTAACTCATTCCAAGTCGTGATACTTCCAGGTAGTAGAGAAATTAACCAAGCCTTAGCTTAATCCCCAAGAGAAAATAGGAAAATCCTTAGCCGAATTGCATCGTCAGATACCCCATTATGTCTGAATGTGTCGCTACCTTTGAAAAATTGGCAATATGCAAATTAAGATCATCACTAGACAACCCTACAAATTGTATCGAATGTTGTATCATCTGAATAATGGTTGGCTTTATTTCAAAATTATTCACTTGAACTGGTGGTCTCCTAATGCTAAAATAACAACCTTCAATAGTAGGACTAGAGTAGTCCTTCAATGCTCTTTGAATAACTACAGCTCCACCAGTTGCATTGCCCCCTGGGATTTCCTCATTCTCATTTTCTTGATTCTTCACATCTTGATTTTATAATTACCCATCTAGCCATTTCAATAGATTTTTGTGAGTTGGCTTGCCTTTTTTTCTTTTCTCAACTTTCTAGCCATTCTTTAAATCTCTGAAACAAAAGGATCAAGATCAACACCTTTAGAACGTAAGCTCTCTAGGATCTAAAAAACAAAAAAAATTAAAATTAAAAAAAAATCAAATTAGCAACTAAATAGCTTGTAATGATATTGATGGAAAAAATAATTCCCTGGTAATGGTGCCGAAAACTTCTTGTGATTTTCGCAAGTGTACAAAATTATTAAAGTAATAAAGTGTAAGTATACAGATGTCAAACCCTAGGGAATTACTAGTTACCAATTACCAAAATAAACTATCCTATTACTATTTGATTAATCTAACTTTTATCAAGAAAAACCTAGATTAAAATAAATGATGGAATTTTAAAAACAAAACTGAAAAGAAGACAAACTCAATAATTCTTTGGTTTTAACTCAAGATGACTAACCTAAGGCATAGATTTCACACCAAGTCTTATTCATATGCATTGACAACTCATGCTAATTTCATTAAGCTCTTCCCAAAGGTCAAACTTCCTAAATTTTCAATAATTTTCTCTCAAAACAATTATCAAATTATCTCCTAATTACTAACCCAAATTATCTCTAATCAAATTTAAGCAATTAGAGATCATTACGTTCTATGGAGTTTACCAAAACCTCACAAGTCACGGCAACCTATCTATAGCATTCGCTCAACCTATGGTTTTACTACCTTAGACCAACTAAGCATCATCTCTCGCTCTCAACTTAGTCCATTAATTCATCCAATTCTCAGGCCCCTAAGAATCAAAAGAATTAGGCATAATAATAAAACTTAGGAAGCAATCTCAATAGCAATTACACAAGTTATTCAATACATATTCAAGAGATTGGGCTACCTCTTAACCCTAGAAAATAAAGTTAGTTCATAGCAAATATAAAAAAACAAAAATCTTTATGAAAACAAAAATCATGAGTTTAAGGAAGAACAAAGAAAATTTTCTCTATGATTTTTCTCCAAAAGCTCCAGAAATTCTGATGCTCTTTTCTTTTCTTCTAATGGTTTTCCTTTTGATCTCCCCTAAAAAGTTTCTCAAACAATGTTAAAGACTTGTATTTATATCGCACAAGGGTTATGGTTTCTTTTCCCCTCATTCTACTAAGTTTAGGACTCTTTAAACCCCAATTTCCTAGTCAAACATGGAAATAAATTTTCCAGTTTTTGTGAGTGTGTTGTGATACTATGCTGTAGCATGGTTGGTTCTGACTTTGTTGTGCCCCAGCACAGTGCCACGGCATGGCGTCCAAATCTTCTCTTCAGTTCAGACCTTGCATCATTCTTCAGCACTCTAGAGATGGTGATGTTTGAGCATATAATGTTCGAATCTAGCCCACTAGTAAACATATGAAATGTAGCTTCGAATCATCTTTCCAATTGTTCAAGAATCGTCTCAATCCGAGGTCCACAGATGTAGTTATTGTCAAAATACTGAAGCATAATCTAGAATCTTTTCTTTAACTTCAAAACTCCATAACAACTCTAATTCTCGATCCATTTATTTCTACTCATCACTTATTCCATTTCTAACATGATTCTTCATCTGAGCATAACATTTAGCATTAATAACCTGATAACACTAAAACACACCCGTGATCCCATAAAAGACATTTATGAAAATATTAAGCAAATTTACCAATTTAAGCCTAATTTCTTACGAATAACCTCATAAACCACTAGGTAAATGTGTATTTTCAAACTCTTATTAGTCCATAGGAACAAAGTTCCCTTGTTCTACTATTTTCCATAAATTGTAATCTATGGACCTAATATGAAGTCTCATTCTAATTCTTTATTGTGTGTATTTTACATCACAAAATAATGAGGTCTTGTAGTACAATGGCCTTCATTAAAGAGAGGTATTGATGTACTAGCCATCCATATCTAGATCGGTTAACTCTTGAAACTATTAGGTTTTCTACACAAGAGCCCAAGCTCTAATACCAATTGTATAACCCTATATGGCAAATATTCCTTTTTGGGGGGGTGGGGTTGGTGTGAATATGAATCAATGAAAATAAATGCAGAATAAAAAATTTCAACAACACCAACGAATAGCAATGAGTTTAACTAATCAATGTGCAATAAGTAAACTCAACAAGCAATGAATGAGAATGATAATGATCAATAAAGATAAATAGTGGTGAGCAATAAATATAAACAAGTGATGATTATTTTCAAGTAAATATGCAAGGAATAATAATTGAGTTGAGAGAGAATAAATGCTTAGAGATTTATAGTGGTTCGGAGCTATATCTACAAGCCTCCAGCATCCACTTCTTCAAGACAACCTCTTTGAAGTTCCACTAGAATCAAATTTTGCCTTTTACACTAGTTTGATAGGATTTGTCTCTTACAATAGTTTGACAGGATTTCGCCAAAAAGATGTTTGAATAAAAGCTTATTAATTACTTCCTCTTAAACTAGGCTTAAACACACATTAAGAACAATACTCTCAAAGGTTTTCAATATGAGTACAAGAGAATGGTAATGATTTGGATTTTTAGCTCAAGGGATTATGTGATAATGTCTTTTATAAGAATTTTGTTTCTTTGGTATTCTCTCTATCTTTCTTTGCAATAAAACACTCTATTTATTGCTTGTCTCTTCCCTTTGAAGTAAATAGCCGTTTCTACATTTAATGCAACTTTGAAAAGCTAAAGTACCTAGAGGAATGGGCATTCCACCATCACGAATGGTCGTTCTCGACATAATGGATACTTTTGCTTAGCTCTTGGGTTTACGGAATGATCATTCTACCAATGCAAATGGTTGCTCCACCAGCGCAAACAGTCATTCCACCGCGAGGAACAGCCGGTCCATTGGCTCCTTGAAAATCCATAAAATTTTAGAAGCATGCGCAACTTCCTGGAACGATGACGTTCTGCCACGAATGATATTTGAATGGGAACAGTCATGCAACATGCTTGTTCCATTTGAAATATTTGAACTTCAACATGATCTTCAAGGCTTGTTCTAATTTGTCAAAGGTGCAAAATCATTTGGATTTTGACTTGAATGGAACGGATATATAGCTTGGTTGTGTCATTGGAAGCGACTTGACATCATTTTGGGTAGAAGAATGCACAATCATCTGGAACGTGGTTGTGCTGTAAGGAACATTCATTTGGGCAACTCAATGAAACATGAAACTTTTGTTCCTTCATCCTTCACGGTCATACCAATTGGGAAAACTATATTTTATTTTGGTTATGACTTCTTGTCATACCTTTGTATGTTTTTTAAATACAAATCAACGTTTTGAATCGTTTTGGTACATCAAAACACATGAGGGCTCAACACCTAATGTCTATATGCTTTGTCCTAGAGTGATGTACAAGATCTTTAGACAAATTTATGGCACTTGTGTTGTCACAATGAATTGGTATGCTATGCATTTTAAAACCAAAATCTTCAAGTTGTTGCTTCATCCATAGATGTTGTGCACAAGAACTCGCTGCTAACACATATTCAGCTTCTATGCTAGAAGTAGCCACTAAATTTTGTTTCTTTGAAAAACCATGACACTAGCATGCTTCCTAAGAATTGAAATGTTCTAGTGCTTTTCCTAACTATCCTACAACATCCAAAATTAGCATCTAAATATCCTATAAGACTAAAAAAGATCCTTAGGATACCATAAACCAATGTTTGTTGTTCCCTTCAAGTACCTAAGAATCCTTTTTACAATACTCAAGTGAGATTCTTTATGACATGATTGGAAACATGCACATGCATATGCTAAACATGATATCAGGCCTAGATGTAGTCAAGTACAATAATACACCTATCATGCTTCTATAATGCTTTGTATCAACACTTTTACCTCTTTCACCAGCTTCTAATTTGAGTGAAATTCTCATAGGAGTAGGTTGATCTTTTGCCTCATTTATCTTGAAGCGCTTGAGGAGATCATTGATGTACTTGGATTGATTTAGCAAATTCTCATCCTTTTGTTGCTTTATTTGTAATCCAAGAAAATAATTCAATTCTCCCATCATACTCATCTCGAATTCTCCCTACATCATCTTAGAAAATTCCTTGCAAAGATTTTCATTACTAGCACCAAAGATGATGTCATCAACATATATTTGAACTTTTAGGAATTTAATTAAGGCAAAATGTAGCGGAAATTAATTTTTTTTTATTAAAAACTAAAGCCGACGATCCTTGTAATGAATTAAACATTATTTACATGCCATGAAAATATAATAAACCATTCAAGGTTTCGATTTCATACCAAACGTTGGCGGCTACTTTGATTGATTGTAGAAAAACGCTACCACTTCAAGAATAGAAGTGAATGAATGGTAATCCACATAAAGACAAGAATCCACACAAGACCAGTTTGCTAGAATGAAGATGGCAGTTCAAGGAAGAAGAGAGGATGAAAATTTCAAAGAGACATTTGCTCTCTCACTTTAGCTTAGGTGGCAAGACTAAAAGATTAGGGTAAAATTATTTTTGTTGCCCTTT